CTCCTCAATTGGTCATGGTGGCAAACAGGATTTGAGAAAGGGTAATTCTAAACACAACCCATTTTTACCAAGTACAGCCCCTTTAACGATTCATTTTACAAATTTGTCCTCCGTGAAGTGCTTTCTTCTTCATCCATAACAGCGACTTGGAATTTCTGTATGTCCTTTACCTTTTCACATACTCCGTATGTAATTGAGCCTACTAACCAGTTCTTTGTCGAGATGGCCACCAGTGTACCATGGACTGCCGGTGAGTTCCCCTGAAGGTTCACACCCAGCGACTATAGAGGTCTTTCAAGATTTGTTCTCTATGTTCTTGACCAGTTTTATGAGGTTAGTTGAGTGTTAAGCCCTCATTCATTATGGGATGTGTCCTCGGGACCAGAGCTGAGAAAGGCCACCAGTGTACCATGGACTCTGCGTTCTCTGCCTCCCTTCTCCATAAGAGATCTCTTACAACTACATCGATTGCCCCAACGCTGAGAAAGGAATGCAAAGCAGAGATGAAAACGCGATTGAGGTTAGGGCTGGGTTCGAAAAATCGAAAACCGAAAACCGAATCAAATCATACCGAACCGTAACCAAATAAAATCGAATCGCTAACAAACCGACACCGAATGTAAAAAACCGAACCGAACCGTAGTTGTTTGGTTCGGTTTTGATTTTTACTCTTCAAAACCGAACCGAACCGAACAAACCGAACTAATTAAAATATAAAATTTATTTGTCAATTGTTAAGCATTAATCCTAACAAATCCTAATATCATTAATAGTCTTTGGTTTTCTTGTGCTAGAGAAATAATGTTTGTGTTATGTTTAGTTTAGTTTATAAATTCATTTACACATTCATTGTCCGTAATAATGTAGCTATACGGAATGATGATAATATGTTTTTACTAGTTATTAGTATTAATTAACTTTTATTTTTATTTAATTTAAAGAATTCATATTGATGAAACAATAAATATTCATCTCAACTATATCACATAGAACGTATATAACTATATACTCATGATTTTTTTTTAACTAGTCACAAACAATGTAGATTAATAATATATACTTTTATCTCTCTCGCATACTCATATAATTCAAGACATATTTATTTATTTTCATTTTTATTTTATTTGTTGTAGTGTGCTTGCATTCTTTATGTAATACTATGTATATGTTCGATCCCTCAAAGTATTATAACAATTTTAAATCAAATGATAATTTTTTGGCAAAAAACCGGAAAAACCGAAACCGAATCGAAACAAACCGAACCAATCAAACCGTGGTTCCAAGTTTTGAAGTGTAAAACCGAACCGAAACCGAACCGAACTTTTTACTTTGATTCTATATTTGGTTTTAGGTCAAAACCGAACCGCAAGAACCGAACCCACCCCTAATTGAGGTAAATGGGTACGGTATAGGGATATAATAGACATTAAATTAATTGGGGGCTGTGAATAGTAATTATGTGGCTGCATTTAGAATCACCAATCTCTACTAGATAGCTATCTCGTGTGCACCACAAAAAAATGGATAGATCCAGTGACTGTGAGGCGGAACTCCGAATTGAAATTGTTGGCCACTAAAGTTGTTTTGGAAACCGCGAAAGAGCAATGTTAATTCTTAACTGCGTAGAGGGATCCGGTGGGACAATGGGGTAAAACTATGCACAAGTGGAGATTGTTATTTCTTAACTGCGTAATTAGGGGTGGGCGTGGTTGGTTAACCGAATTTCGGTTAACCACTAATCGGTTAACCGAGAGAGCGGTTACTATATTTTCAATAACATAACCCATACCATAACTTTGGTTAACCGTGTATCGATTAACCGAAATTTCGGTTAACCGTGTATCGGTTAACTGAAGTTTCGGTTAACCACAAATTGGATAAGTAAAAAACCATGAAGTCGTGACTGACAAGTAATAGACTTTCCAAAATTTTAAACATTTCATTTCTGGATCATCTTAGGAACTTCAATCAATATCGTCACTACACAGCTACACTATAGGTACGTAGAATGATCATTATCTTGCACATATTCAAACCAATGGACAATTAAATATACACACACATACCATGTTCTTTGAGCATCTTCTTTAGTATGAGTAAACTAGACTTAATGAAGAAGATGCTCAAAAAAAATCATCAAAAATTTCCACCGGGGACCGCCCCAAATGGCGATATTTGGATAGAGCCTCCTATGTAAGGGGTGATTTGCACTTTTAAGTTAGTTCGATGGCCTATTTGACCTTTAGCCTTACATATTTGAGACACACAATTTACATTTTGTATAATATGGCTCATATACTAGACACACATTGTTTACATTTTGTATAAGGTCATTTAGATCGTATATTTAGCTTTTCTACCAACAAATACTATTGCATATAACGTATTACATAATTTACATCTATAAGTTAATCACATGTTTTTAAAACATTCATAAGATCATTTACATGTACCGCACTTGCACCAAATATAAACTATTTACATTAAAATACACATTTTTCACAAATACTTACATACTCCGTATTTTATAACAAGATTTACATAGATATATAACATGAAGAGTCCTCTTCCAGTCAGGTATACCAGACCGGAGCCCCGTACGGCCTCCTCCATTTGGGGGTCTTCCCGATGGTATTTTTTGCTCAAATTTTTTGTGTAGGTTCCTCATCAAGTCTAGTCCATCCATACCAAATTTCAGCCAAAAATTCAATCGGAAAGGTTGTCAAATGATTTTTGCAAGTTAACTGATCCGGAAATCATTTGACGACCTTCCCGATTGAATTTTTGGCTGAAATTTGGTATGGATGAACTAGACTTGATGAGGAACCTACACAAAAAATTTGAGCAAAAAATACTACCGGAAAGGCCCCCAAATGGAGGAGGCCGGACGGGGGGAATGGTCCGGCCTGGCCGGACCTGAATAGTTGTGTAACATGAATTACACAAAATTATAAACTAAGTTACACCAAGCACTTGTCTGCAAGTTATACAACTTGGTCGTTTTTTAGATTAAAACTTAACGTTAATGGCATCGTTTCTGGTGATTCCACTAGAGTAGGATACTCAATGCTCAATATAGCGACATTTATTTACGGAGTAGTGTCTTAGAGCTAAGCCAAATTTTACTGAAAAATGTTTAATGTGCATGAGTTGTACACAAAATGTACACAAAACCCTCTAATTATTTGTGTACATAGTCACAGGGGTGGAGACAGAGAAGGGCTGGTGGAGGCCATGGCCCCTGCAAGAAAAAAATTCTTAAGTATATATTATATATGAATACTTTTAATCTATATAAAGTATGTTGATATTTTAAACTTTGGCCTCTGCAATGTAAAATTTTTAAGGAGCGACCCCTTTAACTCTAAATATCTGGCTACGCCACTGAATAGTCAATTCGTTCAAGAAGAGGCATGATTATGTCAAAATCTTTCTAATTGCCTATGTATGTACAAATTTTGTGTATATATCAAGAAGGTCCAATATTACTAAATTGGCTTTCGTCATTCCACTCGACCGCAAGGTCTACCAAAACTATCATCTAAAAATAGAGTACATCTATGCCTCTATGGTTTTATGGTGCACTCCTTAACATGGAATATTTTGATACATTCGTTTCTTGAACCAATCAAATTATTATATCATAATGCCGCATCATATCTTGACTAACTTGGCATAATAATTTCCATGTTAAAAATATTTCCCCTTGATCAATAATAGAAACTGAAAAATAACGAGGAACCGAAAACAAAAACCTCAAAGTCGGTCATCAAAGAAAAAGGAAAACATTACCCCTTTCTACTACAAGGAAAATTCAATTATTCCACTATTCAGTCGGATCTGGTGTGAGGCGTGTAGGTGGACGATTCCAACTTTGGGTTGAGAAAATTCGATTATTGTGAGCGGAACACAAAACTCTTTTATTTCCATAAACAAAAAGGGAAAATGGAATCTAATAATCCAACCTTTTAGTGGTCTTCTTTTAATAGTCCAACCTTTTCATTATTCATGAATAATCCAACCTTTGTACCTCATCTTCATTCATTGGTCCCTGACCGGTTGATGACCTGCTATTCCGAGTTATTTTCTTATCTTTGCAAAATATTAACTTTGTGAAAAGTGGAATTTATGGTATAATAGTTTGCAGAGATAAGAAAATAACTCAAAATAGCAGGTCATCAACCGGTCGGGGACTAATGAATGAAGATGAGGTGCAAAGGTTGGATTATTCATGAATAACGAAAAGGTCGGACTATTAAAAGAAGACCGCTAAAAGGTTGGATTATTACTTTCCATTTTCCCTAAACAAAAACGAACATTCTCTTTGAAATTGCAAGATGCAACATAGCAATGTTGGGATATCAAAGTAGTGTTGCTACTCCATTGTCTTCTTTATCACTATATTTGAAAATCCCTTTGTTATGGAAACTAAAATGAAAAATGTACTACGTAGTATTTCTTATACTAAGGGTCTGTTTGCAACAACTTCTGCTTTTAAGAAAGTGCTTTTTTAATGAAATGGGAATAAGTGATTAAATAAAAGTTGATAGTGTTTGAGAAAAAAGTAATTTTGAAAAGTAAAAGTGGGTAGTGTTTGGTAAAATAAGTGCTTTTTGTGTAATAGAAAAAGTAAAAGCACTTTTGACGCGGAAGCCGAGAAAATAAAAGTTGTATTGTTTGGGAAAATAAATGCTTTTTTAAAGCCAAAAGCTGAGAAGTGCTTTTTTAAAAGCAGTTGCAAACCAACCCTAAGGTGGCTAGAATGTGAACGGCGCATCATATCATAATTTGATCAACTCAAAATGATATGCACCAGTGCATACGATATTTAATGAGACACGGTAGAATTTAAAAAAAAAAACTACCTCCGTCAAAAAAATTGATGTAAGAGATGATGCAATTACAAAGAAAATTGACTTTATATGGTAACATCAAATTTATAAAGTTAGAATAAAGTATAATTAAATGAACATAATTTTCCTTTTGCGTTTATGGAAGTAGACAAGTAGTCCTTTTACAGTCTTACTCTTAGATGTTTGTATATGACTATATGAGAATATGGTTTAGCTGACCGCCTAATACGTTATTATATGCTATGTGTTTTTCCCATTACTGAATTTTAAATCCTCAACCAGGAATCCTTCCTTATTTCAACCAAAATGTAAACATAAACCCTAATTAATTGATGAAAAAAATTAAAATCACCAACTCCAATTACATGAGGGTATGCATACATCCCCAATTAAAAGAGTAGGGATATATGAACTGGAATGAACACGCACATTTTCACTAGTTCGTAAAATCATGAAATGGGATTACTTCATCACTGTGCCTCGAATCAGCTTGGTGAGCACATATATCTCTTCACATCTTATTTGACTAAACAAATTCAAATACCCAATTGGTCCATCTCCTTCTGCAATATAAATTGAAATACTAAATATATCAGGCACTGCCTCGTTATTGCTCAATAACTTTTTTCAGAAAAAAAAACCTTTAAAGTGAATGATGTTCATGTTTTTTGTACGGCATATCAGCATATGAAGTGGGTGTTTGTTATTTGTTCAAGCTTATGTTATGTATAGTTGGATTATCAAGGTTATAAACATCTGATTTACATAACTGATATTCATTATGCATACGTGATCATAATCATAAAGACAACTACAACTCAAATTTCGCTAAAATAGGACCTAACCAATATTTCAATGGCAACACATAAGTGAAGCGGAACAAATTCTGGTAAATGAACCATGTTTATTAGGTGAACCAAAGTTATATAATCTCTAAAGCGGGAAGTAACTCATCTTACTGAATGCCTAACAGATCAACAATAACATATATACGTGATATAGTAACACACATATGCATAATATATGTTCCTGAGACCAGAGTAAGATTATATTCAGAAGCATAGGCATGGGGGACCTGCTCTTTTCCAAAGGTATTGATCTTAACACACCATGTTTTGAAAAATACATGCAAAGAAACATGTGTAGAATTGGTCTAATAATTCATTTTATTATTTTATATACTGTAGTTCATTTCTTTTAACTACATTTATTACTACCTCTGCCCCTTCAAGATTGGGATATGAGGAAGCCACACGAATATTAAAAAAGGCTGAATTATGTGGTTGAAACTTGACATTGAATTTGAAAGTATAAATAAAGTAAGAATGAATTAGAAACTCACAAATATTATCAATGATCAGACAAAAAAGGAAACCTGGGATAAAGGTATGGAGAACAATAAACAATAAAGTTTATTGTTGGCATTTGGCAAAAAGACTTGTGCATTTTTTTAGATAAACAATACTATGGAGTATATTAAATCTATAGTAATTTTGAGCACTTCGAACTGCAGTGCTACGTCTAACACTGAGCATCAGAATGGATCATTACCACTCAACTATATGTAATGAGCCTCGGCCAAATATAGCATACTTGTCTGAATACCTGAACAAGCAAGAACAGTAGAAAACCCAAACTGAATAAGTAAACAAAAGACCAAGAATCACTTACTTCAATATCTGAAGTAGATGAGATCCAAGGAGGAGGAGGCCAAAAAAGCTCAGAATAACCAACATTACTACTAATAGGACCAATGCTGCCGCTTTCTAAGTCAGACATGCCTATACCATGAAATGTCCACACACCTCCTCCTTCATCTTCTTCATCCTTGTCGTACAATAAGAGATCTGCAAACAATATACAGTTCCCTTTGCATTCAGAATTAAGCTCAGAGACCAAGGCAGAGAATGTGCAATTTTCTCCCAAGAAGAGTATCCTGTCCTTCAAACTCGAAATACTAACCCATTGCTGCCCTTCTTCGTCCAATTTATAAACCTTAAACTTCAGAGTTCTCTCGTTCATCAAACAATCGAGCTCTTCGTAGAATTCAAACCCTTCACTGTATCCGAGATCATCCTTGGGCCCCACAGTTAAGTACTTATCAACCATTAACAAGTCTCCGCAAGATTCCACCAGGAATTTCTTGTCTCCCTCAAAAACAGGTTGGGCAATGACACTAAAATCCATGGAGTCCATATTAAAAACCACAGTCCTACCAGTATTATCAACTGCATAAAAGCGACCATCTTTGGTGATCACGTCATCGTAGGGTGAACTCAGGTCGTTGATGATTGTCCAATTCGAAGCACCCGATCTATAAACAACCAATCTCCCGGAAACATGAATGGTTAAAAGCACGAACCCTGACGAGTGTTTATCCGGACACAAGGCGACCTTCTCCATATACAAATTGCCAGCCTCACCAACTGAACTAGCCAAAGGCCTGGAATTTATGAAGTGAAGAGTGTACTCTTTCCCCAATTCGATAATGGGGTATCGCGAGACATCAATACATTTTGGGAAATCCGAAGGGAGCGGCTTCAAATGAGATCTGGAAAGAGGATTCAGCAATCGCAATCGGTGCGGGGAATCAGAACCGAGCTTAACAATCCAGGAATTGGATGCGGAGGCGGTTCTGTCATGATCTCCGGGTGATCGGATCAAGTAAATGGTGCGCCTTAAGAGCTTAAAGCCCCAACTAGCATCAGAGATTCCGTCATTTGGAATAACGGGAAAGCGGGTCGGGCAAGAGCGGTAGGGTTTCTCCGGGACGGAGAATCGCCAGGAAGAGCAGACGGAACGGAAGCGGATGAAATCGATTTCAGAAGTTATGTGTCTGGCGATTAGGTCTATAAGATCTGGAGGGAGCTGAGACCACCCAGACATTGATGTATGAAGCAGAAAATGAAGAATTTGTTAAATGAAGGGGGAAACCCAGTCTTACAGGCCGTTGTAATTCCCCAGTCTTAGAAACGGTACCAAAAGACAAATTCACGAGCCCAGATTGGGAGGTGCCACCTTTTCCTCATCATATTACCGAACTAACTTTTTAGGTGGCCGTTTGGAACCTACGAAAAAGGCTTACAAGCCTTAAATTCCAAAAAGAGCCAAACACATGTGCAATACTTGTTTGCCCTTCAACTGTGCCTGTTAATTATCAGCCAAAAAAGTAACAAAAGAGTTATTTTTGAGCTGAAAGTTATTAATTTACTGTGGAAACCCAAAAATACTTGTTTGCCCAATTGCCCTTCAACTGTGCCTGTTAATTATAGTTTGAGTTTCATGTACTCACTGCTCGCTGGGCCTGCTCCGTATTCACCAAGGTAAGTGTTGGGGAATAATATCCCGGCCTACTACTGTTCAGATGCCCAAGACACCACCCCGGTACGGGGCCCATTTGGCGAGACCCATTTAGGCCAACCGGCCCATTTTCGGCCCACATGGGCCTGCTTCGGCCCATTAAGGCCTTATTAGAATAGAAAAGCCCTCCCCTTTTTCCTATAAATAGGAAGGAAGGCTTTCACTCAAAGGATCTGCTTTTTCTGGCTCTCCTTTCCTGGATGAGTTCTTCATCCTTATTTCTTATTCTTTTAGCTTAGTTATTAAAGCTCCATTAATGGAAGATCCAAGAAATATTGGTACTATGTAAAATTGTAAATGAGTGATGGGAGCATATTAATGAGAAAGAGCGGGCTTGGACGTTAGCCTAAAAAGTCCCGTGGTTTTCTCCCTTTCCGGGTTTCCACGTAAAAATAGCTAGTTCATACACTCTTATATTTATATTCACTTTTATATACCGAATCCATCGTCCTTAATATCCGAAGTTTATGTTGGGCTTCCGGATCTACGGGACAAAACCTCAACATTGGCGCCGTCTGTGGGAACCGCTTCAAAAAGATTCATGTGTTTTTGATTCTACAAATATTTTTATGCCAAAAACTACTGATGGGATCAAGAAACTAAAGAGGAAGGAAGAAACAATTCTGGAAAAACAAAAAACAAAGAAGAAATCCCAGATCCCGTTTAGCAGCCTGGTTGTTGTCCTAAAATTGCTACTGCTACATCCTAAAAGTCATCCATAAGGCCGAAGCACATGTCAAGGAGGATGGTCTCAAAGACCTATTGACGGAAGAGGAATACTGGAGCTGGGACCCATATTCCTAATACCTTGCAGAGAGGATAAGGCCAGATGGTTCCATACTTTTACAAAAGAAGCATGACAAAGCCTGACAATAGCATAAGTGGGTGAGTTGACAAAGCAAGTGGATGAGTTGACATTCATCATTATCCAAAACAAGCTTCACTGCCCGAATGCCGAACGGTATAAGACATACTCATGACGGAACAGATGTGATGAACAGGGCCAAGCTATGATGACACCTTAAAGGAACAATCTCGACAGCAGCACCTCCTGCTCGAGCATCCCGGCTGCTCTGGCATCACCTAGCCTTAAGGCATCACATCCCGAACGGGAAGCTCCTGAACGCCCAAAGCTAACAACCGCAAACCAGCAGCAAAACCCGAGGTGCTCTCTGCAGCCATGGATGCCAGGGAGCTGCCATCCCTGTTTAAATGCCGCTCGGTCAACAGGCAACACCGTTTACCGAACGGGAATGCGCACAACCAGCATATACCGGCCGTGACCCTGTCCATCCATTTTTGGCAATCAAAGCAGAGGAAAAAATCAAATCTCTGGGAGATTACCTGAACGGGAGGACAAAATCAAAGGTCGGGAAAATCAAAACTCAAGCTGATCGGCATATATCATTACCCGAACGATCATTTATGGACACCAAGGACTGCTCACCAAACGCGAAAGGACAAGACCAACTACCTGCGGAGGGAAACTGCCGCCGGGGCTTGGCCGAACTACCTGCGGGTCCGAGCTTGGGTCCTTTTCTAAATAGTGTTTGGTCTGGCCACTCTACCACCATTCGCTTCCTTCTGTCCGGCTTGCACAGCCCGTACGGCGAAGCTCCAGGCCGATCCCTGTTCAGTCTGGGAGTTCCCGAACAGGATCCACCCCACCATCCACGCCAACTACTGACCCTCCCGCTCGGCAATATCCTCCATACGGCGAAGCAGGTACCCGATCGGTAACTCCGCGATTCAGCGACGATTCTGGAATCGGCCCTTTGCGAAGCTCCACCAAACGCAGGTTTCGTTTGAAGGGCTCGGAATCTCGATCGACAAAAACTTGGCTGGTTATGGAGCTAATCGTAAGGGGATGGATGGTATGGCCGACGTAATGATGGGCTGTCTAAACTACAAACCAATCATTTTTGGGCGGATCAAATTCTCCGGGCCAATAACTTGGCCTGGCAGCTGCTAGCCAGCCTATTTCGAGCTAAGTACCATCATTTTCTATCTCGTTAATTAAAAAAAAAAAACGAATGAAGTTTTATTATTAGTTCACCAACATTTTAATTAAATGCTTGGTTTGACTGGGCTTGTCGGTCCATCCCCGATCGGCCCAAATAATATTGACTGAACCGTCTTTGGAGGACATTTTCTCGGTGACACGTTTTTTAAATTCGAAGCCACCCATGAGTCTGTTCGGCATGGGTCGGACATCCATGAAAATATTAAATAAAATGATGTAGTAATATTACTATTAGTTACACATCGCCATTATTTGTTTAGTAGAGATTAAATTTCCTGAATTGAATAATGACCGAGCGAGACTCCAGTGACAAGTCCATTATCATTTAAAATTAAATGATTTGGTTTAATGGGCCGACCGGCCAACCCGCGATCGGCTAAATATAAGCGATCGGAGTGCCCCAAATGGTATTACTTTGACAACACACCAAGTACTCATGCATGAGAGTATTCATTGGTTGATTAAATAGTATTCTTACTATTAATTGCAACACCATTATTTTAGTAGGGATTAAAATTCCCGAATAGAATAAGGCCGAACGGAGCTTTATAAATAAGATCACCAACGTTTTAAATAAATGTTTGGTTTAAATGGCTGATCGGTCCACTCCTGGTCGGCCTAAATGAATTAACTAAAGCGTCTCGCAAGGGCGTGGCTCAATGACGTAGTTAAAATTAGATACCATGAGCGGTTCCGCTCGGTATTAAATGCCCGAACGACAACTATACCCACTACGGGGCGAAATACGTACTTTAATTAGCTGAAAGCTTTCCTGAGAACGCCCGGGAAACCACTAGGTGGTTCTGAGAGCGTATGGGCAGTTCAAAAGATAAATCTAGGCCAAGGGTTATCATTACCGCTTCGGCCGATAGTCATGGATGAAAAATAAAGAATAAAAAAGAAATGTTACACATGTGTGTGTATATACTTGTATATGTTGTTCGGCCGTACGGCCGCATTACCATGCTTATTGTGCAGTAAAATTTGTTCGATATGCTCGAACGGGGAATCATGAAGCACAAAGATATTTATGATGCTCGGCATGAAACACAGAGACATTCATGACCGGCAGAAAAGAATCACATTCATAGGCGTTCGGCCAGCCCGAACGGGGAAGTCATGAAGCAGAGAGATGTTTATGACGTTCAGCATGAAGCGCAAAGACGTTCATGATTGGCAACAAAAAGAAGGAATATTTACATTTAGAGCCGTTCGACCAGCTCGGACGGGGAGGTTTACAAAAAAAAAGAGAAAAAAAAAAGAGAAAAAAAAAAGAAAGAAAAAAAAAAAAAAACAGAGTGAGGTTACTAGTGTGTAGAAGGAATCATGGACGATTGAGAAAAGAAGGGACTACAAATGTGTAGATGTCACAACACATGAAGAGAGGTCCTATGGACTGTACGATACACGAGCTTTCAGATTACGCTACCTGACTGGCAATCCGGCCTCCGCCGTTCGGCACCTAGAGCAACATTATGGGCTGAGGGCGCCTGTAAGACCCTAGGATTTACAGATCGGCCTCCCAGCGCCGACTTTTCTCTCACCACGACCGACTCTCCTGGCTCGGCATGGTGATCATTTGGAAGACCGACCTCATCTCCGCTCCTCGCGGATGAGAACTGTTGATTATTTATTTCTGATCGGACCCCAGCGCCGACATCATTACATGGCCACCGACCCTCTGGTACGGTGCCATTATCATATTTGAAGACCGGCCTTATCCCCGCACTGCGCAGATAAGGACCGTTGCTTGTTCCTTTCCGATCAGCCCCCAGTGGCAACCTCATTACATGGCCACCGACCCTCTAGTACGGTGCCATTATCATATTTGAAGACCGGCCTCGTCCCCGCACTGCGCGGATAAGGACCGTTGCTTGACTTTCAGCATGGCTACATTTTGTGGACCGCTGCCGCAGTTGCTGCCGTTGTCCTTGAGCAGAGGGCGCTCGCAAGACCCTTGGATTTATTCATGTTTCTCATATCATGATCAGCCCCACAGCACGACATTATTTGCTTAGGAGGCATCTTCACATTCCATAAAGTCTCACCTCGATCGATAGATACCACTTGTCTCGATCCATGGGGAGCCACCATCTCAGCACAAAAAAAAAAAAAAAAAGATGCAGGTTAACCAAGCCCGGACTCAGCTTGGGAGATGGTGTAAAAGATCTTGAGTAGGACGAACCGGGCGGCATCCGAAGTCATAGGGTGACCGAGCGGGGGATCGGGACTCTGGTCTTAAAATCTTGCCTTGGCTATGCAGCTCGCCCGAACCACGATGTAGTGATTTATTGTGGTGGAACCCGAGCTGTAAGCTGAAGGCGAGTCTCCATTTTGGCAGAGAATAAGGGGGAGACCCGGCTTGGGAGCCTTATTCTCAATGGTCCAGGATGGACATCTCAACCTCATGATATGGATGACCCCGGACGGTAAAACCGACGGTATGCATCGGAATTATGGGCTTGGAAGATGGCAGACACTACACAAATTGTGAAACTGTCTTGCAGCAAGAGGTGATTGCCTTGCGGATCAGGAAGAATACGGATGATAACACGAACAAGTTACATCAGCCTTGGGCCTACAAGGCAGCAGGCAGCAAGAGGTGATGCCTTGCGGATCAGGAAACTACGAACAAATATCGGAAATAAGCCGAACAGCTTGCACCTTAACCCTGGTGCTGACTTATAGCAGAAATGACCTATTATCCAGATGATCTGACCGCTTCTGTAGCTCTACGATCAGCCACCTCGGCACGACGTGATCATCATTGTACATCAGACCGTTCTAGTGGGACGAACGGGCGAATGGAACTATTGTTTGGAACGACCAGGGGAGAACGACCCGTTCGGCGAAGGCGAGCGAACGGGGGATATAAATTGGCTGGGAGGTGATGTGAATTCATGATGGCCCGCGATGGTCTCGAGTCAAGTCCAGGTCTGTCTGAGTCGAGTCAAGTCCATGTCCGTCTGAGTCAAGTCCAGGTCTGTTTGAGTCGAGTCAAGTCCATGTCTGTCCGAGTCAAGTTGGTCCATCCTTAATCTAGGATGACGATCGCTTATTTTATGCAGCACGTTCGGGCTCCACAGCACCGTCGTGCCTGGCTTTCTGGTGGGCTCGTCCATCCTTACTATAGGATGGCAACCGTCGCTCTTATGCAGCACGTACGGGCTCCACAGCACCGTCGTGCCTGGCTTTCTGGCGGGCTCGTCCATCCTTGCTATAGGATGGCAACCGTCGCTCTTATGCAGCACGTACGGGCTCCACAGCACCGTCGTGCCTGGCTTTCTGGCGGGCTCGTCCATCCTTGCTCTGGGATGGCAACCGTCGCTCTTATGCAGCACGAACGGGCTCCACAGTACCGTCGTGCATGGCTTTCTGGCGGGCTCATCCATCTTTTCTCTGGGATGGCAACCGTCGCTCTTATGCAGCACGCACGGTCTCCACAGCACCGTCGTGCCTGGCTCTCGGTCGGGCTCGTCCATCCTTGATCTGGGATGGCGAGCGCCGCTTTATACAGCACGAGCGGCTGGCTTTTCAGCGCCGCCGTGCCTAGCGAGGGACTGCACCTCGTTCATCATTTATGCATGCCTTGCGTCCAAGACTATTCAAGCACTGATTCAGGGAAGGACGTGAGCAAGAGTATACTTTCTCGAGCAGATTCACAGGCTCACTACTCAAGAAACTGGGGGACTTGTGTTGGGGAATAATATCCCGGCCTACTACTGTTCAGATGCCCAAGACACCACCCCGGTACGGGGCCCATTTGGCGAGACCCATTTAGGCCAACCGGCCCATTTTCGGCCCACATGGGCCTGCTTCGGCCCATTAAGGCCTTATTAAAATAATGCATAATACATGTGGACAATGTTCTAAATGGTAAAAAAAATGCATACTGAAATTACAAGAATTTTGCAAACACGAAATTGCAAACTGATATAATAACAACCGGAAAACAAATATAATCTGGGTGGTTTTTCCGCACAAGAATGCACACGAAATTCAAAGACTTTGCATAAACATGATATTGTTGAATTGATATGGATACAAAGACCAAAACAAAATATTAAAAAAACTGGTGTGCACACGAATTCCATGCTGATGCCGGAATTCATGGCTTTTGAGAACTAATGTTCTCCCGATGCATGCCGGAATCCATTAGTTTGAATAGAAGAGCATCAACCACAGTCTATTAAATTTGAGATAGAGATGGAGAAAAAATGTGATGGGGATGGAGATGGAGATGGAAACGCAACACGAGATGGAGACATAGACGAAAACTAGATCTTGAAGTGTTGATCCTGGAGAGAACTCTGGTAGAATATGCAATAAAGGTAATAATCGAATGAGAAGCAACCGTGATTTTTTTCCAATTACAAAATAAACCTAAAAGACTAATAAGCCCTCAACTGCCCAATCTAATCAAAATGAAAGACACGGATCATCGACTAAAATAGAGGGCTAGGATTACTTTGTAGGTTTGTAAATTAAGAAGAGTTTGTATTTGATCTCTATTCTATATATATATATATATATATAAATATATATATATATACATGTATATAATTATATATGAATATATATAAAATGAATATACATTTATAAAAAATGAATATGTATCTAAATATTTGCATATCTTTTTTAATTGCTTATTCCTTACATAGATTTCTTACAAGTATCTTACAATATCAAACTTCTAAAACTATTCGGCATTTGTCCAAAAATGAATATTCGGGATCCTAACCAAATAGAGATTATTCTTGATCTCGACAATCTAAATCACAACAATATTACAAATTTTGCAGTTCTGATGAACTCTTTAAAAAATCATGATCGAGACTAAGATTTCTTTCTTTAGTAAATAATCATAATATGTATTTATACACTATATTCATTGATCACAAAGTTTCTCAATGAGTCTACTTAGTTTTGAATTTTAAATAATATACATTACATATCCTTCTTTTTGTGATTTTTATATAATGTTTGAAGTAAGTTTCACTAAGCCTTGAATTGATAGCTTATTAGAAAATTATACTATTAATTAATTGAAGTTACAAATAAAAATTATTCTAAAAGTATGCACTAGTGTGAATTTGAGATGATAATTATTACAATAAATTTTATTAGTAGATGATGATAAATATGGTATAATAATGAACAAAGAATAATCTTGAAACCACTAAATATCAAAGTTAGTGTTTAACTAAAGAAATTACATAATTTTATGTTTGATACTTCATTGTCGGGATTGAGCGGGATTAAGCGGGATTTCCGATTGGGATCCCGACTTAATCAGGATTTTAATGTCAGAATCCCGACTTAATCGGGACGGGATACGGGATCCTCTTGTAGTTTGAATCGGGATCGGGATTTGGGCAATCGGGATCGGGATCATCCTGATCCCACCCCTATTTATGATTCATACTAGCTTAACAAATTTGAAAAAAAATACACCCTCCGTCTCACTAAGAATATTTGATATTTTCTATTTCAGTTAATCCTGCTAAGATTGTTAATACTATGTTTGATAAAGTTTATGTGGTTTCAAATTATTATTACTTTAATTTTACTTTATTTATTCAATATCAATCATATAAATTCATTTTTAATACATATGTCACCTCATCATATCTCAATGCAAATTGAACCAAGATAGTAAGTATACGTAAGTAAATAAAAAAATGGCCCAAGTAAATTTAGTGTAATTATCTATTGTTTTTAAATTCTCAATTGTAACTTTGTAAGGGAAAAAACTAACTACCAAAATGTAAATTCAAAATCCGTCACTGCAATCAAGTTGACTTGATGGATAGTAAAATAAATTACTCCAAATAAGCAGAAAACATAAACAAAACGTTGAAATAGACCACTTATATTTTATTCACAAAATGTAACTTGCTTAATAATCCTATAAAAGATGGCTTTCTCATCTTTCTCTCTAGGCTTGCTTTGGGGCAACACTTGGTTTCTTCGTTGGTCCGCCGTCGACTTTGTCGAGGGGCGAGAGGCTGGGATTGTCCGGCCGATTGTGGATATCAGGTCGATTTTGGAGGCTTCAGGTTGAAAGCAGTTCAGCGGAGTCGAGCAACGGCTGCTTCGGGATGACGAAACTACTAGGGCGCGGCGGCAAACCAGGACGTGGCGGCAGCGATTGGTTCGAGGCGTCCAGATTGGAGGGGTCGTGAACTGTGGGGAGGTTCGAGAGAAGGTTAAGAGTCGGTTTTAGCATGGAAAGCTTCGTGCATAAGTACAAGAGTATGACGATTGGGACAGAGGAAGAAGACCTAGACCTGGACCTTGATGATTTCGATGGTGAAGACGTTCCAGTAGAGGAAAGCAGTCTGGGATTGCTATTGACTGACAGGAATGTCATATTTCCATCCCTCAAAGAGCTTATGTCCTCGCTATGGAGGCCGGGGAAAGGAATGAAGACCAAAGTACTTGGTGAGAAAAGGTACCTATTTACTTCCTATCATCGTTTTGATATGAATCGTGTGTTTGAAGAAGGTCCTTGGCAGTTTGAGTGTAATCTGTTTATGTTAAAAGAAGTTAAACTTGATGATATTCCGCATAAGATTGTTTTAAATGAGACTGATTTTTGGGTTCAAGTTTACAACGTTCCCTATAGCCTAGTTAATTTAGGTACTGCAAGGTGGATTGGAAATTATATTGGTAAGTTTATAAAATATGATGATAATCATGATAGTGAGGAGTGGGACTCTTATATGAGAATCAGGGTGCGCATGAAATGGATAAATCTTTGAAAAGGGTTCGAATCTTAAAAAAAAAAGAAGGAAAAAACTTTTGGGTTGATTTCAAGTATGAGAGGTTGCCCAATTTCTATTTTATATATATGCGGCTTAATTGGGCCTTCAGATAAGTTTTGCCTTGTGAACTATGAAGAAGATCTAGTACTAGAGAAAATTTTGGGGTCCATCTTAGGGTAGGAAGAGTGGTGAAGACTAGCCCAACAGGAGGTGGTAAGTGCTACTGGAGGGTTCATCGAGCTCTGGTAGGAAGGGTGAAGGGGGGGAAGAATCTATGTCAGAATCAGCACAAAGTATAACTAAAAGAGTGGGTGCGGAAACGAAAGAGGAAACATCGGGGGAGCAAAAGAGAAGAAGGATTTGGGAAGCCGAGGGAGGAGACCAGATTGGGGAAGATAGCATGACTCTTGATGGGGGAAAAACGGGGAAGGGGCAGACTTCGATCAGTAAGTCCGCCGAAGTTGATATAGTCATAAGGGATGGAAAGAGTTCGGGTGCTCGTGCGGCTTGGCAGACTCGGACTGAGTTTCAAGTTTATTTGTTTTTTATTTCTTTTTTAATGACAATTTAGTTTGTTGTGTGGTGTTTCTCGTGGTTATTGTTCCTTTTTGTAAGACGATTGGTTTGAATGTGGGTGATGAGAGGATTGCGGTAACCGTATTTGGCTCATTTGTGCCCATTAATGGATCACCGAATTATATTGATTCTTTGGAGATGATTAATTCTGAGTTTGGTTCGTGGGACGACGGTTGTCAGGAATCTTTTTATCAAATTACCTACTATATGAATGATGTGTTATCATTGTAAGTTTATTTCTTCCACCGAAAAAAGAATCATATTAAAGATGTACCTTGGCCTTCAATATTCGACTCATTGTTTGCTTAATTTGATTACAAAGAATTAAATAATTATCTGAACAAATTAGTATCGCTAAAAGGAGTATTTTATGTGTCTACTTCTACTACTGAATAGTTGAGTCCCTCAGTCTTCTGTCAAGAAGGGCTTCAATGGAGTTGAAACGCACAAAAGCAACGTGGGATAATCTCCCAAACCTTGCAATATCCAACATCTTCTGCAAGTCCTCCATTGAAGATCGCCTCTTCAACCTTCCATTCGTATGCAAATCATGGGCCCACGTTTCTCGCGACCCTCGCTGCTGGGCCTCCATGATCGCCGACACTCACCCCCTCTCCGCCGATGATGCATTCGTCAAAGCCTCCTTTCCGTACAGCTCCGCCTTTCCCGATCCATTCCGCGGCAGTCGTAGCGGCGGCGTCCTCCGCCTTCAAATGCTCATGGACAGAGCCGGCAGCGGAGCGGCCATCACCTCTCTCTTCGTCTATCCCTTTCTCAATTCCGTTGGTGGGCCTAGCAATGACGACGACGTTCTCACTCTGATCGCCTGCCGGTAAGACATTAAATTTGCAATTGAATGAAAAATCGAAGATGAAACTGAAATCGATCATTCGAGGTTTTAATTTCTGGATTCGATTAATCTGAAATGCGTTTGTGATTCTGTGCGTTGTAATGGTGACAGATGCCCTAACCTGAGAAACTTGTCATTCCATGGGTCTTACAATGGCAGTGAAGGAGTGATCCTGGAGCTGATAGGGAAGTGCCGGAAATTGGAGGTCATTGACTTTTCCGATTCGCCCTACTTCACCCCTGCAGTTTTAGAAGCGGTGAAGGGATGTTGCCCTGACATTAGGGGGATCAGAAGGAACGGGGAAGTTGATAGCCATTTATCAACTCATCTCGTCTCTTCTTCTTATTCTTCTGGGTTTTCAGATTTGAGGCTAATTAACCTCTCAGATTCAACAATTGGGGACATGGACCTGTTAAACATACTGTGTATGAAGAAGCTGCAGTACTTGGACATCACACGCTGCCAGAATCTGGTAAAGTACATGGACCTCATCAAGAGAGCTCATGGCCGGATACCTGAAATTTGCTATGACTAAGTAAGAGAGTTTGTGTAGGATCAGTGATTGCAGAGATGATTTCTAGGATCACGATGCTCTTGAAGAGTTGAAGTGCTTTTGTGAAAACAGCATCAATATGAGATTATGTTATAAGCAGGTTTAATGTAAGAATTAGTGATCCAGCCAGCCGGACAAGACTAGCTAGCAGCCTAGCAGTCCGCCCGAGGGCTTTTGGGTTCCTTCCGGATGTAATTTTTCTATGCTTTTTTTTGAAAACATGTTATACATCAAGAGTCTAGTTTACTTATACTAAATTTCAATTAAAAATTCAATCGGAAAGGCAGACCAATAAATTGTTGAAACAAATTGCGCTTTTTAGTATATATATATAAAGCACATTTTTTGTAAAGAATTTATTTGAATGTCTTCCAGATTGAATGCTTAGCTGAAATTTGATATTAATAAAATAGACTTGATGAAAAACATGCTAAAAAAAATCATCTAATAAAATCCACCGAGAAGGGCCCCAAATGCCCTCAGTCTGACGGCGGTTCCCGTCAGGCCGGCCTGATATGATCCGTCCTCTTAATGTAATACTCCTAAATAAATTTCTCGTTTTCTCTCTATGAATTTTTTAAGAGGGTGTATTGTATTAGGATTTAGTGGCGAAATTTTAAAAGTACATGGATTTTAAAAGTATTCAATGTAGACTTTTAAGAATCTAAAAAAGTCTAGATGTATTCAATTTATTTTTAAAAGTCTATAAATGTCTAGGTGTATTCAAACTTTTGTTCATTTTTATTGACTTCTAAAACCATGGATTCTTGTGTACTTTTAACTCATTTCTAGGACAAAAAATCTCCGCAATTATCTCTTTTCCTCACCAAAGATATTCATGGACTTTTCTGTTTTCTTGTATTCGTCATAAGTACGCATATTAAGAAGGTCCTAGACCGGTACCGGTTGAGTCGGGAGGTGAGTACCTGGATGGTTTCAATATGCAAGATTTTTTTTGTCGTCAAAACATATCAATATGCAAGATTTGAAAATTAAAATGGTTTTTTATATATCATCTTACGAAGAAAAATGTAGGGGTTGAGATCAATTCAGTTCTTGAAAGAAAATTAAGAACCATTTGAAAAACTGTTAATTCAATATCGATTCGATTCTAGAAGTTTTTAGAAAAATCTATTTAAGAATTGATAGTATATTAGTATTATATCAGTGCAATTCTGATATGTTGTCAATTAACCATTAATTATTATTGAGTTTCATCGGTAAACCGCTAACACATTAAAATATAATTTCAAATTAATAAATATTTAACCGTAAAGAAATAAACAAAGTTTAACAAGCTAATAATGAATAGAAAACAATTATTAAGAAGAACTCAATTGCACTTATGTTCATACCTCATGTATCATTTAAGCAATGACTATAACACTTTTGTAACAATTGATCATAAAGAGACCAACTTTGTTGAGAAATCTCAAAACTGTAAGATTTCTTATGGGAGATTTCCCAAAATAGGAGTAAATGGAGTTTGGAATTCCAAAATAGGACTACTATGTTTTTATTCCCAAAATAGGACTAACATGACAGTATTTACCGTCATCTTGTAGGCGTGACTTTCAAATAATTGCAGTACAATGCATTTAACATGACAGTAAGAATTATAATTAATGACAGTATTTTTCAATCATGACAGTAACAACTCCTATTTCGGGAAGAGAAACATAGTAGTCCTATTTTGGAATTCCAAACCTCATTTACTCCTATTTAGGGCAATTTCCCTTTTCTTATTAATAAATATATATATTTTCATGTATATGTTTCATTTATTCTTGTAGAACTCTATATTCTTAAATGAACTACATTAGTTTCATTTATTTATTTAATTGTTTTTTATCATATTATACAAATGAAATTACTCATGATAGGACTAAAACATAGCAGTACTCTTCCCAAAGTATGATCATAAGTTTGAATTATCTTAAATAGGACTAAAACATTACACTTATACCCCCAATTTATTTAATTACTATAATTAATTGTCCATTGGTTCCCTTGCATAACCAAAACCATTTGGTTGGTGGTGGATCAGTCCGATGATGGTGGCGGTGAGCTCCAGTGATGGAGAAGGAGGATGGTGTGATTCAAGAAAATCCGTAACGGCGCTCTGGGTGAAAATTACGACGATCGGCGCTCTGGTTTAAAAGTCTAAGGACTTTTTGAAAGTCTATAAACTTATCCATGGATTTAATAATCAATGAAAATCATTCATAAAAAAGTCTATAGATTTAAAAGTCCATGGATTAATAAATACACCATAATTCATACTCAATACACCCCCCTAAATAAAATTTACACTCTCCTTTTATTGATTATCACTAAATAAATGGCGGATTTGACTTTGCACCTCACTTTTGAATGATATTGGAATTTGCATTCCATTTTGAAAAAACTTTGACTTTGCACCTCATTTTCCTTCACAAAATATTATATGATCGGGTGCAAAGTCAAAGGTTTTAAAAATGAGATGCGAAGTCCAATATTACCCAACAAGTATGGTGCAAAATCAAATTATCCCCTAAATAAAATCTCATTTCTATATGTGATAAACAAATTTACACTCCCTCCGTTCCAAATTAAGTTACAAAATTGACTTTTTCGAATCAAATTGATTCACTTTATTCACTTAATTAGGATATCAATTCTTAATTAAATTTTAATTTGATTTTTTATTTACTCCGTACTAGTAGTATCTACTCTTGTGTATTCAATATATTTAACCACATCACAATTTATTATTCTTCATTTACTTCTTTAATATAATTATAATGATTTTATAGTGATTATGTTATATAACTATTGTTTTTTTTTCACAAAAAAATGTTATACAACTATTGTTTTTATGATATTATTATTGCACACGTACACAATTTACAAGTTTGCTATTTTATATACACAGAGTATTTTTTTGATATTTTTACAATATAAGTAATTATATTATCATATTTATAATATTATAGTGTTTAGTGTATACTAACTTTACATCATTTGTATATGTATGAACATTGTTGGGATATTAGGTCCCGACCCAGTATGGGCCCAAATATTCTTGGAGGCCCAAGACACACGCGGTTTTTCCCACAATGTGGCCAACTCGGGATGGGCGTACGACGTTCCCCGCACGGGCATTGTCGCACGGCCCATTCCCCTTACTTGGGCTCCTCCACTCAATCAAGCAGTTTCTTATGTCAGAACACCTCGAAGCAATTGGCGAGAACCATCAGAGTTGATGGGAAGTGCATTTAATGCATTAGATATGAAAGATTTTATGATTAGGGTTCATCCCCTCAGGGTTAGCCACGTCACCCCCACCTACTCACTTCTATTATAAATAACATCATTTGTTTCATTGTAAGGAGTTAGCAACTTTGTACGCTTAAGCATTGTACTTCTCTCTAGCCTTTCATACATCATTCAACTTAGTTTAGAGGGTCGAAGTGCCGCTTGACATAAGTGTTGTAATCGTTTTATAGACTTAAAAAGAATTGGATCTACTTTGCCTTCTAATTATTATCTCACATTGTCATTTCCTTGCACTGAATGCTCATTAAATAATCCACTCAACCAAGCAAATCTGACGAAGCCCAAACGACTATGTTGGACCTTTGGACGCTGAGGAATAAACTTCAATACTGGTGCCGTCTGTGGGACACTTGAACTAAAATTCCCAAGCGAGATCCCACACTAAGCAACGCTTCACACATCAATACCTTCCTAGCCTTTCGTACATCATTCAATTGTGTCTAGAGGGTCGAAGTGCCGCTTGGCATAAGTGTTGTAATCGTTCTATAGACTTGAATAGAACTATATCTACTTTGCCTTATAATTATTATCTCACATTGTCATTTCCTTGCACTGAATGCTCATTAAATAATCCACTCAACCAAGAAAATCCGACGAAGCCCAAAGGACTATGTTGGACCTTTGGACGCTGAGGAATAAACTTCAATACTGGTGTCGTCTGTGGGACACTTGAACTAAAATTCCCAAGCGAGATCCCACACTAAGCAACGCTACACACATCAATAACTTCCTACTACATTGACAAGGAGGACAACATGATACACGAGAGACCTCTCTGAGCAGCTACACGAGAGCAGGAGATCTCGCACCCTCGACTTCGGGGGGCAATTCAGCAGTGGATGGGGGGACCCGAACGGGCGGGGTAATCTCACCAATCTGATCCCGAACGAAGTCCGTCCTGATCCCCGCCTCATGAGAGAATTGGCTGACGCCATGAGGGACATGGCCGATCGGGAGGATGCAGAGCAAACCATATACACTACCCACACAGAGCGCACCCCCCCCCCCCCCCTCTCCGATCCGACAACTGCAATCGTTTGGAGAATACGATGGGGAAGTCTAAGGCCTCCCATACCTCAGTATATTCACGAATGGGCGAGGTCCATAACGAGCACAGATTTGGGGGTCAAGGTCATTCGGGTAACCACAGACGATGAGCTGAACCTTCTGGATCCGGCACGGAGGAGAACACCGTGGTCGAACGTACTTCCGTGATTCCCTGAAACAGTCACCATGCTCGGGAGCTGACCCCGAGCAGGCCTCCTGCATGACGTTATTTCCAGGAGGTGAACAGGGGTGATCGAATAATCACTTGGGTGACCCAAGGGCAGAGGCATGCCCGAGCGGGAGGAAACGAGGCACAAATACCCCCCCCCCCCCCCCCCCCCCCCCGACGCTACATTGAGGTGCTAGCTAGGGCACAGAGGTATGCCGCTATACAGGAGGAGATCATCTTACGGGATCAGATCCCTTCGACGGCACCTCCGAAGTTGGCTAACTGGGTTGGACTGGCTCCTAAGGCCACGCCAAGTCACAAGTATCATAATCCGTTTAATCAGCGTTTCACGCAGCTCACTCTTCTGATCGCCTCAATCTACTATGAGGTACCAGACCTCATTCCGCCCTCTACCGACAAGGGTGCCAACATGGGCAATAATAACACCGTCTACTGCCGGCACCACAAGCAGCGGGGCCAACATGGGCAATAATAACACCGTCTCCAGTTTTTGGATACTCCGAAAGCATACATTGATATGGACTGGCCTTGATGTAAGCTCTACGCACTTCATCACGCTTTTCTGCCAGATATTTCAAAATTGGAGGTCTCAATCCCGGATCACGTTCTAAAGATTGAATATCAAACCTCTCATAGAACTTTTAGAATTTGTACTTGTAAAGTACGCATGAATAGTTTGTGGCTTTCTCATCTATTCAAAAAAGTCACATACATACTTTATAATCACATAATACGAACTAAAACGTTAACTACACACAAGTACACAATCTTTAACTATTTGTAAACTTGTATAAGTATTAATAAATTCTTAATAATAATAATAACTCAATTTTACTAGAGCTCCAGCATGCTAGTATTCTTTATTAATAAATTAATTGATAACTAATTAACTAATAAACAAAAGTAACTAAGTAATTGACAACAAAATCGTAGATCATATGATTGTATTAGTGTATTACATATGGTGGATTCGTATGTACTAATAAATTATAATATAAAAACAAGTGAAAAAATAGATTTCATTTTTACCTGAAATCCGCAGATTCAAGCCGTAGGTACTGCAAGTAATTTCAAGTTCAAATGAAATGCAGTCTGCAAGCTTCTACTCCCTCCGTCCCTTATAACTTTGTCAACTTTCCTTTTTTGGATGTCTCATTAACTTTGTCACTTTCTCATTTAAGTAAAGAATTTGTGGTTCCTATTAATTCTCTCTCCTCTTCACAAACCTCAACCACACAGTTTTTACTTTATTAATTCCCGTGTCAGTCAAACTTGGCAAAGTTATTAGGGACGGAGGGAGTAATTGATTACTTCTAGTCTTTCAAAGTTCCAGACGAGTGAGATAACCAAGGAGTCTAATATCTAGGCTTCTCCAAATTGAAAGACTACGACGTTCAGACGTTTTCCCCGTTCAAATGCTAGGTCAGCAGCTACATTATGCACAAAACTAATCTAATATCCTATTAGGGCCTACATTACAAGTAATTCTAATTGGGCCTAATACAATGTTAGTATCTTATACGGACCAACTGACTGTCTGACTCCCCTGAGGACACCCTTTGCTAGCTTCACCAAAAACTGCTTCTACGCGGAGGGTACCTTTTCCCTACAGATCCATATTGGTGATGGTCCTCATCGAGTGGCAATCCATATGCCGTTCATACTGGTCGATATAAAATGATGCACTCACAACACCATCTTGGGGCGTCCGGGTTTGGAGGACCTCAAGGCTATAGCTTTTGTGCGGCACTCTTCTATCAAATTCTCAATTGAGATGGGGGACAGAGTGGCCCGCATGGACCCGACCATGGCCAGAACCTGCTACAGGGAGGCTCTGAAGAAGATGAACGCCTAGGACCTGACGGTAAACATCTTAGCGGAGACCGCACGGCTTGAGAATGCTGTGGCGCGGCCCGAACCAGCAACTCTGCTAAAGCGGGCTGAATTGGATGATGGGTTAATTATCTAAATAGGAGTAAAAGGTAGTCAATAATCACAAATACGACTACATTGTTTTTTAACTCACTAGTAGGACTAATTATGTGTGTTTGTACAAATATACCCTTGAAGCTATTGGATTGTTTTAATTCATAATAAAATCATAAAACAAATTATAAAAAAAAAACGTAAAAATAATCACCGCCGCCTCTTCCACCTCCGGTGACCGGGGGGAAATGCCACTTGCACTAGGAATGCCATATTTATGGCAGATTCAATGAAATTTTAGGCATTCTCAAAGAGTAATGTCTTTTTTAGCAACTTTGTACTCTTGAGCATTATACTTCTCTGTAGCCTTTCATAAAGCATTCAGCTTAGTCTATAGGGTCGGACTTTCGCTCGACATAAGTGTTGTTGTAATCGTTCTATAGCAACTTTGTACTCTTGAGCATTATACTTCTCTGTTGCCTTATTTTTCTTACGTAGTATCTTTTTGGCTGCGATATCATATACTTCACAATTCATGTTATCAAAATTTTTTGGGACAAAGGCTTGGATGTTTTTCGTGTTGTGTATTGTAGTATTGCCTTGTGGGGCAAGCACAATATAACATATGCTGAGAAAACAATCTATCTTGTGTTTTGTTTTTCCAGAAAATTCTGAAAGGAACAATTAAAATGTCAATGATCTGCCTTTATTTGATCAATTTGCTTGCGGTATTCTAGAAGCTTAGTAGCCATGAGTACTGCTGGTCACATACTTGGCAGTTGGCCTAGGAGACCAGCATATAGATAGTGTCCTTAGACTCCTTGTATGCTTTGATAAAGGGCAAAGACTAAGGATCCAGAAATTGTGCCCTTCCTCTTGACTCAGACAATTGAAGCAGCTTTAGGCCTAACTGGCGTTGAGGGTACTTTTAGAGCAAACTGTGAAGGGGTTCTTGGTGTTTTGAAGAAAAATAAGGACATAATCTTGATGCTCCTAGATGTCTTTGTTTGGGATCCCCTTGTTGATTTGACACATGGAGATTTTCATGATAATGCGGCAATTTTTGGTGAGGAAAGAAAGGGGATGGAGCTTGCAGTAAGTTTGAGTTTATTTGCTTCCCAGGTGCAAGAAATTTGTACTCCTTTGCAGGTTGGTGTTTGGTTATAACAAGGAGATTTTGGAGGTCAGAGTTTAGACTATTCATTCCGGATATAATCTCATTTTTGTCCAAATTATGATCTAGTCCTCTTTTGTCTAGAGAAGAACTACTTTTGTCTTCACTTCAGTTTCTCATCCATAATCACACAATTTGGAACATTTTTTATCAATTTACATTGGTCGATACAAAGAGTGTTCAAGATCAGACCAAGCAAAAGTTTAAGATATGAAGTCGCACAACAAATAAAACTGAAGGCTACATACGGTTCAAACTAGGGATGGACCGGGCCCAGGTTGGGTATGGGCGAGATTTGGATTTGGGAAATCAGGCCCGGTACCGGATCGAGCCCAGGTCGGGTCTATATGTTTTTATAAAAAATTGGTTTTTATGATTTATTCCTACACCCAGCCCCACCCGCCTAGCTCCCAATCCATGCGGAAAAAAACAGGGGCCCGCACCGGTCCGGACAGTCCGGTCACCAAATACCCATCCCATAACCCGCCCCAAACACCCCCGATTAGTCATGGACTCGGGTCGGGCCAACTGGCCCGGAATCGGCTCGGAACTGGTACTGTTTGGGCCCGGCCCGGTACCCGGTACCGGTTCGGGCCACCCGAATCCGAAATAAATCGGGCCGGGCTCGGACCTCCTAAGAGTGGAACCGGCCCGGCCTATTTCATTTTTTTTTCAATTTTTTTGGTTTCTCCCAGATTGGTCTGGGTGTTTTGGGGGGTGAAGGGGGGCCGGGTATGGGTGGACCGGTTCCGGTTCGGGCCCGGTTCGGGCCTGGGCCCGGCCGGGCCTCGGTTCAGAAATGGGAGGCCCGGAACCGGCCCGGGTAATCCCGGGTCCGGGCCGGGCCTCGGTTCTATTTTTTTTTTTTTGGCTTTTCCTAATTAACCCCAACCCTCCCCCCTCACCCCCAAACCACCCCAAACTACCTCAAATGGCCCAAAATACCAAGCCCAACCCAAAAACTTAAAAAAAAAATTCAAAAAAAAAAAAAATAATTTGGCCCGAACCGGGCCCGAACCAGCCGGGCCGGTTCGCCAATCAAAGGGCTCGGGCCCGAACCGCACAGTAATCGGGCCGGGCCGACCCGAACCGCCCCCCCGGGCCGGTTCCCCGGGCCGGGCCGGGCCGAACCGACCCGCCCCCCGGGCCGGTTCTGGGCCGAGCCGCCCGGCCCGAGTCCATCCCTAGGGCTGGGGGTTAATTAGAAAAGAAAAAGAAATTTAAAAAAAAAATAACATGAACCGGCCCAGCTCGGCCCGAAGTGGCCCGGAACCACTGCCTACCCGGGCCGGTTCCGACTCTTCCTTCCCTAAAAAAAAGCCCGTCCGGGCCCGGTCCGGAACCGGCCCGGCCCGGGTCCATGACTACACCCGATTCGTGCCCCAAGTCCCGGTCCCGGCCGGCCAGGCCGGTACCGCACAATAGCGGTCTGGGCCGGGTTCTGGGCCGGTCCGAACCGGTCCGAACCGGCCCAGTCCATGCCAAGTTCAAACTGATGAAGTTTTTTATAAATTTGTAGTTTGTACTCTCGTAGACAAATGAATCACACGCTCCACAATGACAAAGCAAAGCTAAGATGGCATGCCTGGTTGCATACTCTAATTCAGGATAAGCAGTTGGACAAAATCATACACATTTCTAATCACTTTACCAACACTATATTAAATAAACAACAATTCTTGATGTACACACTTTTACACACGTATGTGTGAAGGCTATGTACACACTTTTACACACATATGTGTGAAGACTTTTATTTGTCTGTTCACAGACAAAACATGTTTTTTCTATAAACAGTGTATTCACACACACAAAAAAAGTCTTCCCAAGTTTGTGTAAAAATGTGTAAACAGTAAAAGTGTGTGCAAAAGGTTTTTTTGCAAAATAAAATACTTGAAAAGAACAAGCGCAATCAAATCAAATCCCATTTCCAAACCAAATACAATACAATTGCTAGAGTTTTTCAAACCAATACAACCAGCTTTTCTTCTTCTTCACCTACTTGATGTCTAAACGAATTCCTTCTACTCGATTTTGTGGAACAGACTAAAAAACATAACGAGCCCAGTGCCATTTGTGTATATAAAATTACGTGAGACAAAATTTCTTGATCCATAACAGTAAGACAATGCCCTAATTTTTGAAATGATAACATACAGGACACTAAATAGAAAAGAAAATATCACAAATGCCCCTCCACCCTTTACAGTATCACCATTTTTCTCAAACAACCAATTTTTGCATTTGTTTAAATAAAGGCCCAAATTCTTATATCACTCACTTGGCCAAAACTTTGCACTCTTGACAAATCACACAGGCTACACCATAACAATTAGACAACGCTAACACGAAAATGCAGAGGTGCATAGCTCCCTCCATTATCAATCACATGCATTAAGCAAGGTGCTTTAAAAGCTGAGACGAAAAGGCAGCGAGCATTAAGCAAGGTACTTTAGAAGTTATCCTTCATGGGAGCCTCAAGAGCGGACATGCACTGTTTCTACGTCCCATTCTCAAGCATCTGTAATATATACCCCATATTAGAGATGACTTGTAGTTACTTTGATTGAATAATGGAATTCATCATAGATAAATAGAAAATATCACTTACTCATTTGTGTTCTTGCACCACCTGAATGACCTCATTTTGAAGATCATTGCTCCTTATTTCCTGAAGGAAAAAAAACATCAGAAAACCACTCTCACAAATAATTTAGAGCAAACAGCATTGGGCTAGAGTTATCTCTTACCTGCCAACTTGCAATTGAATTGCACTCAAAGCCCCCGACGGATTTGCTCTGACCTGCAAGTTGATGAGATGCCAAATATTAACTGGTTCCCCAAATTAAATTTGACACACTAGAAAGAAAGGAGACATACCATTTCACATAACCCTCGAAATGCCTCCTCAAAATCATCACATATCCTGTCACAACAAAGCCCAGAATCAATAACACACGCACATATATAAGAATATTTGTTCATTAGACGAAAAAGGGATTTAAAAATAAAAATTAAAAGATGGTGTAATTGACTAGTGCTTGCGTGCGACAGGCTCCATCAATTGAGTGCACAATATGAAAATATATGAAGAAACACATACAAGGAAACATCAAGGATCTGACTTAACCATGCCATATGAGTTACTTAGATAATGCAATCCATTCTTTAATTACACATGTTAGAAAAGAAGACACTTCATTGAAAAGAGAATAAAAAAACAAAAATATAAGCAAAATAACAATCGCATGATAGTAGCATGCCGGAGAGATTAAGTTGACAAAGCCATGCACCGCGCTTGCATGAAATGGTCCATATGTGGTGAAACGAGCTCTGGACAGTCCCAAGCAAGTCTTCCAAGAGTTATAGCGCTATTTTCTACCAGTGACTTGTTGAGTTCCTTCACAGTATAAATATATTCATTTTATAAGAAACAAAATCCATCTCCCTAGCCATTATGCCACACTTCTTGAAGAAAAACTAGAACATGTATGACAATTGACCAGTGAAGTAGTCAAGAATAAGCACTGACACGAATAAAAAAAAGCAGTTCAAGGATATTACCTTGGCATGTTGAAGAATTGGCACCAAGCATGAGATCACTGCCAGCACAACCGAAGATATTTCTTTACGAACCTGAAAGTTAGACACAAGTCTTCCAAGAGCTGTTGAGTTCCTTCACAATAAATATATTCATTTTATAAGAAACGGAATCCATATTCCTAGGCATTATGCCACACTTCTTTCTTGAGGTAAACAAGGACATGTATGACAATTGACCAGTGAAATTATCAAGAATAAGCACTGATACGAATCAGGAAAGCAGTTCAAGGATATTACCTCAGCATGTTGAGGAATTGGCAACCAAGCAAGCATGAGATCACGGCCAGCACAACCGGGGATATTTATTTGCAAACCTGAAAGTTATTTCCAAAGCTGAGCCAATCTGTTAATCACGCTCTAACCCCCAGGCCTTCAGTCATCAACCAGGCATGGTTTCTGGTCTCTTGATAATTCAAGGATTCAGAGGTACGATCCTATAGAACAGATCCTGTTCAAGTAAGGTCGCGACTAGTCCGCTCATCTTCCTTCTTTTATTAAGCCATTTATCGCTTGAAGTAGCTGCATGATCCTGGCATCAAGTCGCAGATCTTCTCGCCCTTTTAGCAAAATCATGTACTTTTCACCATCAGACCCCAGAATCCAAAGCTTTTTGAGTTTTGTCTTGGTTGATAAGATAGTTACTCCCTTGGGAGCAGTATTACCCTCTTCTGATTCAGAATATATTATTTGCTTCTCAAGACATAGGAGCACCAGATGTTGAGAGAGGTGCCAGCTGTGGAGCAACTTCTCCTAGTGATACCGATGACTTTCTGTGATAAGATGCTAAAGAGGCAGCAACGTTGTTAAATGGACACCAAACATCTCCTAATGCAGCATTGGATGCAGGAGGTATCTTGAAGTTTATAATTGCAGATTTAATTTGATCTTTGAATACTTCATCGAACTACATTTCATGGGGCGTTTCAGGTTTTCGAGAAGTAGAAGATACACCGCTTCAAAACAACAACTATAAGAGCCATCATTGCTGAGTACTTAGCAGCATTTTTCTTACTCTTCTCCCCATGGCTAAGAGTTATATTGTCTGCAAACTCGCAGCTTCATTTTCAGCAAATGTATCTGTCTCATTACATCTAACCAATGGTACATTTAACACAAAAGTTCAAAAACATGAAAGCCTTAAGGTGCTTAGAGTAGACAATGTTATCCATTCTTTAATAAAACGTGTTAGAAAAGAAGACACGTCATCGAAAAGAAAGGAAAAAACACAAAAACAAGGCAAAATAATAATCACATGAGTAAATACATTCATGAAATGCTCCATGTGCAGTGAAAAGAGCTCTGGACAGGCCCAAACAAGTCTTCGAAGAGTTATTGAGTTCTTCACTGTAAACATATTCGTTTTATAAGAAACAGAATCCATATTCCAAGCCATTAATTATATCACACTTCCTTCTTGAAGGTAAACTAAGACATGTATGACAATTGACCAGTGAAATTATCAAGAATAAGCACTGATAGGAATCAGGAAAGCAGTTCAAGGATATCACCTCAGCATGTTGAGGAATTGGCACCAAGCAAGCATGAGATCACTGAAAGTTAGCCACAAAATTCTGGTTGTAAAATATCTCTGTTGCACACATGAGGTCATGATTCTAGTCTAACTGCTAATCACCTATGTGCACTCCTTCAAGGAAGTCCTTCTGGCCTCCCTTTTCTCGTTAGAGTCATTCACTTAGCACTAACATTACGAGATAATGATAAACTCTTGTTTGAAGGAAGATGGCCTTGAATCTTCCCTTAACAACAGGAAACATACTTTTTTCCAAATAATCAATAATTCAGGTAAGCAGTGCTAACAATACAACTAGGAGTTACTAAATGTTATGCATGTTATGATAGTTCCTGGATATGGTTAAGGTATCCACCTTAATTGCATTTTCTCCAATTGCGCAACATTCATTTACTACTGCAATAGGAAAGTAGCTTCTCTTAACAGCAGCTTAGTCCTCATCTTAAAACACTAAATGGATTTCATAATACGTAGCAACTAGTGTTATTCAAGTCGGAACGGTTAAAGCTCACGACCAACAAGAACCCAAGCAAAAAAAAAAGAATCTATCAAAACCAAAAAAGGTTAATACCTGTCAGACAGCCCAGAGGTCACCCCAGCCGCGAGCGACTGAGAACGATCCTCTACTGCTCGAGCCATAGCTGAACCAGAGCTGTTAATCACGCTCTAACCTCCAGAGCCTTCGGTCATCAACCAGGCATGGTTTCTGGTCTCTTGATAAATCAAGGATTCAGAGGTACGATCCTATAGAACAGATCCTGTTCAAGTAAGGTCGTGACCAATGTTCTCATCTTCCTCATTTTATTCATTGTTTCCGGTCTACTGTCTTCCGGTGTGGGAAAAGTAGCATAATCTGTATGTCCACTGAGTTACGACTAAGGATCACGAATTAATTAAAGCCTTTGGGCCTCCATAGAGCCATACGCCCATACTGAGATGTGGGCCTGATTATCTGATGTGAGTTTGTTAGATAAATTGGACACTTAGTTGAATAAGAAATATATTTGTTAGATAAATTGGACACTTAGTTGAATAAGAAAGATATTTGTTAGATAAATTGGACACTTAGTTGAATAAGAAAGATATACAGTGTTCGTGTTTGCTTTTGCGAAGCAACATACTCAGTGATTATAGAAATATTGTCCACGGGTCAAACATTTTTTATGGTACTTCTAAAGAGGCCATTTCTATTAGAAGAAAAAAGAATGACAAGTCTTCCATGAGTTCCATCTCAAACTTGAGTTATAAAATTGACTTTTTTGGATCGAATAGATTCATTTTTCACTAAATTAGAAATTAATTAATTCTAATTACATTTTAATTTGGATTTCTCAACTTTAGAATGATTTTAATGTAGTTTTTGAATATATAAATTCTAATGATCAAAATTTGAATTAATTATCAACGAGGAGAATTAATTTTATTATTGGATGACAAAAATGTTGACTTTGTAAAATAATTTGGGACGGGGGTAGTACGTCTTTCAAATGAAGGAGTTATAATATATGATTATATTGAGTAAATTATTAAATAAATTACTAATATCCAAAAAAAAGTTACTTTAGCATTTATGGATTTATCTTCATATCTGGGAAAATCTTCATAGAAGTAAGTATAATAATCTAAAAAGTTTTATTGTTATTTAGCTAACAAGTTAGAGTGGGGATTCTGAATAAGTTGGGGATGTTTGAAACTGCTTATGTTTTTGCTTCTTTTCTAATAAAAAATAGGAAAAATTCACATTATTAATCCCAACTATTAGACATCTTCTCATATTAATCCTAGGTATCAACTATTCTAATATAATCCAAATTATAGGGAGTGCCTTCCCAAAACAGTCCGCTGACCTGCTTGAACCCATTTGGCAGGTCATCCCGACACATGGCAGTTTTTTATTGGTGTTTTTTTGTTTTCTTTATTTCTGTTTTTTTCTATCCCTCTTTTCTCTTTCTTTTTTTTTTTCTTGTTGCACGACTCTATCTTCTGCATCCTTCTTCCGTGGTTCTTTTCTTCTCTTATCTTTGCATTAACAGTTCATTATTTTTTTGTCTTTTTTCTTTCATCCCCTCCTTCATGCCATCTATGGATTTCAATAATGAAATTGGAAAATCCAATTCGAATTTCCCCTTACTTGAATCGGATCTGAATCGGCTTCTAACATGAAAAACTCTACTTGAATTTCACATTTTAAAAAAAAAATTCTTCTCCAATTTTGTTTTCCTTCCTTTCGTTGGGGCTGGGGCGTGAAAGTGTTAGGGGATATGAGGATGTCGGTCAGTCCATGTTTCAGAGTCGTCCTCAGACAGACCCAACTGCTCTTCATCGCCAACTGCATCGTCTTATCTGCTCTTCATCTCCGTCCATCTGTCCATCTTATTTGCTCTTCATCGACGTCATCCGTCCGTTCAACCGTCTCCATCTCCGGCCGCATATTATCCCACCCCTATTAATCTTTATTGTCAGTGCGATGAATATTGTTATCCCACCGTCTTGTTTTGTTTTACCTATTGTCTAAGTTGCAGGTCATGTGGATCAATTTGGGAAGATTACCTATAAATTTCATATAGAATAATGTATATCTGGGATTAATATTGGAAGACCCCGGATAGTTGGGATTATTCTTGTGAATTTTTCCTAAAAAATAAAATTAGTTTTCAAAAATTGATCTTCCCAATTTCTAGAAAATTGTTTCTAGGTGCATTTTGGAGCCTTTAGAAATATTTCTGCACATTCGTCTGACCACTCTTATATCACCTGAACAAGTATTCAAGTTTCAATAAATAAATTCAAACACCCCTTAGTAGCAAATGTCCTCGAATCCCTCGATCAATAGCAAAAGCAGAGAGAATAAATGCACTAATCACTTCTCCGCATCATTCTATTGTTATCGTCTACGACAATAGATGTACTAATCTTATAATAATACGAATGTTATAACGATATTACAATAATCACAATATGACAAGTAGTATAAATTTAGTACAAATACAAAAGTTGAACAATATGATACATTATAATCACTATTATTATAACATTATTATTCCAAGTAAACGATAATATTAAATAATGTAACTAATGATGCACCAATATTATTATACGAACGTTATAATAATATTACAATAATCACATATGACAAGTAGTATAAATTTAGTACAAATACAAACGTAGAACAATATAATACATTAATCACTATTATAATATTATTCCAAGTAAACGATAATAAATAATCCCTCTGTCTCCTTTTAAATGTCACGTTTTACTACATTGGGATGTCCCTATTTAATTGTCTCATATCTTATTTGGTAAAGTTTGTGTGGCTCAAAATCATTCTTACTTTATTCTTACTTTATCAATTACTATCAACCACACAGATCCATTTTTCTTAAAACTCGTGTCACCCTCTTCCGGGACATTTAAAAGGGTCGGAGGGAGTATATGAATGCATGAACGTACGTCATATTAATATTACAACATTACAAAAATAGTTACAAAAATGATAAGGGAAAAATAATTCAAATACCCCAAACTTATGAATGTAATATAAATATTTTGAACTTTATATAAAAAATTATGTTAGCGTCATGATCATATGATTTTTCTTTCACAAATATAAATTTATGATGCTAAATAAATAATTTACATATATTCAGCATTTATGAGAGTGCAATTAACATTCTATTTTGAATGTTATTTAATTTGTACCCTCATGAATTCTAAAATATTTTAAATTGTGTACTTAACATCATATGTTTACATTTTTGAAAGAAACAATATATGATCATGGTGTTAAAATAACTTTTTATATAAAGTTCAGGTTATATATTACATCTACAATCTTTCAAAAAAAAATTACATATACAAGTTTAAACTATTAGAAATTACTTCAAATAGGACTAAAACTATGGCAAAAACTCAAAATAGGACTTGTTATGTTTTTTTTCCAAAATAGGACCATAGTGGTCCTATTGGAAACATACTCATTTCTTCCTTCCACTCTTACCCCTCCTTTAAATATTAGTAAAAGATAGCTAAAAGTCATAATTAAATGTTTAATTCATAATAAATTCGAAAAAAATTCAATAATTCGTAGAAAAATAATAAAAAAATTAATAAAATTTTTATAAAATAAAAAATAAGAAAAAAAATTTTTTTAATTTTTTTTTTTTTTTTGAAAATTAATAAAAAAATAGTAAAACTCCACAAAAAAAATTATAAAAAATATGGATACCTTTCCCACCGCCTGTAGTACCTCCCTGAACCACCACCTCCGATCGGTGTAAAAAATGCCACTTTTTTTTAAATTCCACAAAAATGGCATATTTCTCTATGAGAATGCCAACATTTTCATTCTGCCAACTTGAATCCTTTTGACTTTTGCCAAAAATATGACATTCATAATTTTTTTGGCATTTTTTTACCCCGGTGACAGGAGGTGGTGGTACCGCCTCCCTGCACCACCACCTCCGACCGTTAAAAAAAAATGTCATATTTCCTACAAACTTCCATTTTTTCGGAAAATGCCAAAAATATGGCATATTTCTCTTTGAGAATGCCAACATTTTTTTTCTTCCATCTTAAATCATTCTGAATTATGCCAAAAATATGAAATTCATAATAAATTTGGCATTTTTTTCCCAAATGACTAGAGGTGGTGGTGCTGGGGCGGTATAGGCGGCGGTGACAAAAAAATATTTTTTTGATTTTTTTTTAATTTTTTTTATTTTTTATTTTTTAAAATTTTTTTTTTTAAATTTATTATTATTCAAAATATTTTTATTAATTTTTTGGTATATTTTACGAATTTTCATTATTTTTTATTATTTTATTATGAATTAAAACATTCCAATAGGTATAAGGGTATATTTGTCCAAGACAAACATAATTAGTCCTATGGAAACATAGTTTATTTTTTGGTCCTATTTGTGCAAAGTGAATGACTTTTAGTCCTATTTTGATAATTAACTCTTAAACTATTTACATCACACCCCATTCAAGATATATTTAAATTATTTCCGCCTAATAGTAATATAACATGTATAATGTTCACACAAGTACAAATGATGTCAGTTAGTATACACTAAGCACTATTATAAAAATATTATAAATATGATAATATAGTTACTTATAATATAAAAATAGCAAAAAAATACTATGTATGTGTACTGTGAAAATAGAATTAGTTACTTAATTATAATATTATAAAAATATTATACATATGATAATATAGTTACTTATAATATAAAAATAGCAAAAAAATAGTATGTATGTGTATTGTACGGAGCAAAAATAGCAAATATAGTATACACAAAAATCAATACTTATATATATATATATATAGAGAGAGAGAGCTCTTCTCATCAGGCCGGCCTGACGGGCTGCCCCGTCCGGCTGAGCCCGTTTGGGCACCTTCCCACTAGAATTTTTTGATGAAATTTTTTGAGCATGTTCCTCATCAAGTCTAGTTTGTCCATACCAAATTTCAGCTCAAAATTCAATCGGGAAGGTCGTCAAATGATTTTTGCAAGTTAACTGGTTCGGAAAATACATATTCCAGACCAGTTAACTTACAAAAATCATTTGACGACCTTCCCGATCGAATTTTGAGCTAAAATTCGGTATGGACAAACTAGACTTGATGAGAAACATGCTCAAAAAATTTCATCAAAAAATTCCACCGGGAAGGTGCCCAAACGGGCTCGGCCGGACGGGGCAGCCCGTCAAGCCGGCCTGACATGAACATTCCTCTCTCTCTCTCTCTCTCTCTCTCTCTCTCTCTATATATATATATATATATATATATATATATATATATATATATATAGCAAACTTGTAAATTGTGTACACAGGC